TCCAGGCCCTCATGCACACTAGGCAAACTCTGTACTCTTGAGCTGCCCACTCCAGCTCCTGTTGTACTCCTAAGGCGCCTGTAAATGCAAGAAGAAAGGGCCTGCCAGTGTCGCTGGGAAACCTCTGATCTTCACGGCCTGCAGGGTGTACTTTCTTCTTGGGGTTGACCACATTAATTTGCATTGTTCACTACATATAAATGCATATGGACCTGGGAATGCAGATGCACAGCTGTAATCTCAGCGCTCAAGAGGCTGCTCTACAGAGTGAGTTCCAGGACCACAGAGAAACCCTGCCTTGGAAAACAACCAACAAAACAAAAACAATGAGATAAACAAAGACAAAGAACAAAAAGAAAACAAAGAAGGAGGAGGGGCTGGAGAGATGGCTCAGACGTTAAGGGCACTGGTTTGTTCTTCCAGAGGTTCTGAGTTCAGTTCCCGGCAACCACATGGTGGCTCACAACCATCCTTAATGAAATATGGTGCCCGCTTCTGGCCTGCAGGCATACATGCTGGCAGAACACTGTATATGTAATAAATAAATCTTAAAAAAAAGGAATGAAAATAATAATAATAAAAAAATATATCCCAACACTGGGAGGCCAATGCAGAAGGGCAGCCTCCAACTCAGTGAAAACGTCTCAAAATAAGAATAAATAAATAAGTAAGTAAGTAAATAAATAAATAAATAAATAAATGCAGGATTCTGCCCAGAAATGGACACAGTATCTTCTTACATTGAAAACACCAGGTCTTTACCAAGAATTCTAATGGACATATTCTTTGTAGCTTGGTCCTATAGGAACCATCTCCTATGGTACACAGTCCCCAGCAAACTAGTTTATTTAAGCTGCTTTATAAACTCGATAAACTCAAGTGTTTGTTTCTCTAAGTATGAGCTGCTTGATGGACGCTGATGGACATAACTCTGCAGTGCAAACAGCAGATGGAAAGGTTTGGAAAGTGTGAGTGCCCATGTCACCCTAACCAGCGGTAAGCACCTGACACCGGCCATGGTGTCACGTTATTGTCTGGGTCTTGGTTCCAGTTAGAAAAGAGTCATGGGAATTAGACTTCCAGATACCAGTCAGGACTCACAGTACTTCTGCTGCATAATACTACAGAACGGTATCAGCACTGAACCCCACAGCTGAAACACCAATGCGGTGATGGTTGTGGTTTGAATGCGAAATGTCCCCCATCGGCTGTTGTGTTTGAACACCTGGTCTCCGGCTGCAGGTAGATCCCAGGAAGCTACAGAATGCTTGGCCAACAATCATATTCAATGAATGCTTTGCCTAAACGTCAGTCAGCATTCTGACCACAGGAAGCTAAGAACAACATTAAAAAAAAAAAATCTTCAGGCTGGAGAGATGGCTCAGAGGTTAAGAGCACTGACTGCTCTTCCAGAGGTCCTGAGTTCAATTCCCAGCAACCACATGGTGGCTCACAACCAACTGTAATGAGATCTGGTGCCCTCTTCTTCTGGCCTGCAGTCATATATGCTGTATACATAATAAATATAAAAAAAGTTTATTTAAAAAATCTTCAAAAAATTTAAATCTTATTTTTAATTGTGTGTATGTCCAGTCTAAAAGGATTAGGAAAATAGCAAGGAATGGTCAGACTAAGTCAGAACCAAACTTCAGCAGGATAAACTAAACCCAGTGGCTCCATGGTCCAGCCCTGGAGCATGTCCTGTCATGACGGGTACGCCAAAGGCTTGAACGGCCGGCCCCAAGCCTTGCTGGTGGCAACCCACATGGCCCTTCCCAGGCTGGCTTGACTCCCTGCTTGCAGCTTGGTGTCTCCACTGAAGCTTCGTCCCATCTCACAGCTTTATACATCACATGTGGGAGCTGCAGATGGGTGAAGGACAGTGAATTTCACAGCTTCCTAAACTGCCCAGGTAAGTTGTATCATCCGAACATTTAAGAACTACGCATTTCTGGTTTTTTTTATTGTTGACTGTACTACAAAACAAGCATTTAGTAAACAGAAACATGAAGGTTCAAACTGTTGTAGTTTTATTTCTCAAAGTGGACCCAAACCCAGGAATATAGTCTAGACATCAAATTTTGTATAAATTTGTTTTAAAACTATACAAAATGTGCCTGGATGATAAACACTACATCCTATATATTTCCCTGTACATGTATTTTTATTCCTGAAACACAATAATGAAAACTACATCAGCCTTTCCCTTTTCACATCATGATTACAGGAACCATAGTGAGTTTTATTTTTGTTTTCTTTCATGGAAGTTTGTTTTTTGCTAATACTGTGGACTAAACCTGGGTCCTCATGCATCCTAGGCATGTGCTCTACCACTGAGTTTTTATTTCCCCCTTCCTTTTTGCTGGAGGAGAGCAGAGCAGGGCCTCATTAGGTTGCCCTGGCTAACTTTGAACTTGGGGTCCTCTTGCATCAGCCTCCTGAGTATATGGGGTTACAGCCCCGTGTTATCGGGCCCAGTTCCACGGAGTTTGACGGACTTCATTACATGCCTTTCTCCTGGGCATTAAACTCCCCATCAAGGACAATCAACAGCGCTGCTATCTGAGGACTGTCAAGTATAGGAAATCTTACAGAAAAGAGACCAGATCTATGTACCCCATTCTCACCGAACAAACCACAGTCACTCTCAGGTTCAGCAAGCTTGACTTCCAGGGGTTCGTGACCATGCCTAGATGCCCGGAAGTGCTGCCCAACTCCATTGATTCAGGGCTGGTTTCATCCATCCACGCCTACTCTCATTCAAGACAGATTTACACAAAGGCAAAACATGCTTGTGCTCCACTCTTGGCAGGATTCTGGATTTTCACTGTGGTCCCTGGTGTTTCACGACTGTGACTCTTATGTGGATCCCTAATGAGAAAAGAACACACGAATGTTGGGAGCAGAGATCGCTGTGACTGCCTGATCAATGTGGCAAAGAGCAGCTGCAGTGGGGTGTGCATGTTTATCATCAGGTCTCTCCAACACCTACCTAGGGCTGGAGAGATGGCTCAGAGGTTAAGAGCCTGACTGCTCTTCCAGAGGTCCTGAGTTCAATTCCCAGCAACCACATGGTGGCTCACAACCATCTGTAATGAGATCTGGTGCCTTCTTCTGACCTGCAGTCATACATGTTGTCTGTGAGTTCGAGACCAGCCTGGGCTACCAAGTGAGTTTGGTACACAGATAAACCCTGTCTCGAAAAACAAAAACAAAAACAAACAAACAAACAGAAAGCCAGGCAGTGGTGGCACACGCCTTTAATCCCAGCACTGGGAGGCAGAGCCAGGAGGATCTCTATGAGTTCGAGGCCAGCCTGATCTCCAAAGTGAGTTCCAGGAAAGGCGCAAAAGCTACACAAAGAAAGCCTGTCTCAAGCCGGGCGGGCGGTGGTGGCGCACGCCTTTAATCCCAGCACTCTGGAGGCAGAGCCAGGCGGATCTCTGTGAGTTCAAGGCCAGCCTGGGCTACCAAGTGAGCTCAGGAAAGGCGCAAAGCTACGCAGAGAAACCCTGTATCA